GCCAACCAACCATGGCCAATGCTCTGTGGCAGGCAGAGCAGTGACCAACACTAACTGAGAATACGTGCAGACCGTATGAGAGCAGAGACAGAGAGAGACAGGGAGGTCTTGCATGTGCGAGAGAGAGAGAGGGAGGTAGAGAAGCAAAGGAAGGATGCACAGTGAATGCATGCATATCGCTGAGAAGCTGTCATGTGAACGTTGCTTATAAGATCACTCAAAACAACAAACACCCCTCGCTTCTTCTTCTCTACTCCATCCTGGTTAGCGCAGCACTTTCTACAGTATGTGTGAACTGTAACCATATGCATATGTGCACATCAGGCTCCAGCTGAAAAACATTAGTCAGGCCAGCAGGGAATTTTACTGAAACCTGGTCTGGCTAATGAAATGCTTCAGAGAAGGGATCAGCCGGTATAGAGAGACATAAAAGAGACAGAGAGAGAGAGAGAAAGAGAGAAAGAGGCAGACAAATAAAGATAAAGTCAGAGATTTTCTTTGTCCGTATGATTGTACATACATGCACAAATATGTATATGCATGCCTGGCTTGCAGCATCTGATTAACACACAGATGCTGAAGATCCGGAAGCTGTGTGGCTGGAATGTATATATCTCTTCTGTGTTGATGCGAAAATGTAGATTCAGTAATTCAGTGATAGAAAATGCTAAAAATTTAATTAAAATGAAATGCACCATGACGGGACAGAAATTAAAATAGGGCAACAGATAGTAGCAAGGAAGATGTAAAAGAATTAAAAAAAAGAAAGAAAAAAGAGAAAGAAAACAGGATGAATGAATATGTTCAATCTACCTTAAGAAAAGAGAGTAGGAGAGGAGAGTATTGCAAAGGAGGCACACAAGAAAGGGACAAAATAAACAGCTGAGAAAGGAAGAAAAGCAGAGAAAAAGCTTAAAAGAGAAAGATATAGAAAAAAAGAGCAGACCATATCGATCCTTCCCTTACCTCTGCAGCTGTGTGTGGTATCCTTTGGGACAAAAAACGTAGAGAGGAAGAAACTTCAGCCTCAACAGCACTGCTACAGATCCCCACTTTCTATTTCTCTCCAATGTAATGTACATATATCTCTATCTATCAGCCAAACTCTTCAGTCCACTAAGACGGACCTCTGTCTACCTGCGTGGGTTTGTGTAAATGTATCCTGGATGGTGATGAATAGTGGTGAGTGAAAGGAGAGTACTACGCTAGAGGGCAGACAGACTGGCTGAAACAGGAGAGCAGGGAGAGCACAGAGCAGACTGAGTAGGATGGAAGAGTTACTGTTTCCTAACATCAGAGCGGATGGGCTGGATACACCCACCTCCTCAGCATGCATCAAATGGAAGTCGCTCAGATGCTTTAAAGTATGCAGAGAGAGAGAGAGAAGGAGAGGGAGGGAAAGATCATATGTGCGGCCTGAGATATGATCTGATCTGATATATGCACATATGCATGCGGGGTTATGCACACATGCATACACTAATAAAGGAACTCATTAACTCTCTTTCACTCACACACACACACACACACACACAAAACTACCCTCCTCTGAACAGTGCCTGTGAGACATGGCTGCCAGGGTTTCAGTGAAAATAAATAAACCAGCTGATGGAAGAGCAAAGGCAAAGACAGTCTTCGTGGCAAAAACAACCTCTAATGAGTTGAAGTTAGTGTTCACAGTGAACTGCTGTTAAGTTGTAGAGCCGGAAAAGACTGTTGATAAATCCAGTGCTCCCAACAGGTCCCAAGATAAATCTGGGGGATCACAAAATGATTGAAACATGACTGCTCCACTTCTGCTTTTTCCTTTTCAGGCCTTTAAATATCCTTCAAATCTCCACACTGAGGCCAAAGCCTGTGATGAGGGGTCACATACAGACACTGCCTGATATTATTTTAAGTTTTTACCTCACAGGCCTGCAAAAATTAGATGCAAAGAAAAAAGCAGTGCATGCATGTGTGTACAGAGGGGTTTGTTGTTGAGAGGTAAACTGTAGTAGACTTCAGGACATGCTTCTCATTCTTGGAGTGCATCATTGCCTGTCGCTCAACATGCCTTCATTTTCCCTCCACAGTTCCCCTCCTGGGAGAAAAGTTGGGTGGGGGCTGGTTCATGTCATGGGCCAGGGCTTTGAGCCGCCACATCACCCACCTCTAATGCTCTGGCCGTGAGAGCTTCGTGCCTCCTGGGACAAAGCCTGCCTTGATACAGGCCAATTCTACTACTCAGTGCATAGAGAATGATTCTCATTACTACTATAGGTTAGGGGTTAAATTCCTGCAGGATCTGCCAGTAGGTGGCAACATCTCTAACATGTTTGCATTCACAGTTGGGGCAGTTTGTCAAAATTCAACAAAGTGGATGTTTTTCCTCTTTTTTTTTTTTTCTTTTTTTTTTGGCAGATTCATGTATTCTCAAAATGTTAAAGTCTCCTGCAAGTGTAGGAATACATTTCAAAGCAAAGTACATTTTCATTGCTCAGATCTGTCCAGTGACCTCGTTCAGTGTCTGACAACCCTGGTGCACCCAATGAGTAATGTAATAGCCAATCAAAAACAAGGCCGTGTTTTGATTTCAGTAGTATAGTATATCTTCAGACATGGGTGGCAGGCTCTGCCTTGTACAGATTGCTTGACTTCCCTTGAGAAAATGATGTTATCAGGAGGTGATGAGGGAAGTAATCCCGCTTTATATTGCATCTCCTGGTTGGATTTTAAATCGGATGTGAGAAAGGCATAACACCTCCAAACCAGCTCCCCCCTCCTTTGTAAAATCTGGATAAATCACCTGCTGGTTACAGTATGACATCTGTAATGAAATCTTTCTCATTAACAAATGATAAAACACCACATGTGAGGTTTGAAATTAATTCTAAATGAGGTAGTTGGGTCCATGATGTTTTGGTACACTCATTTAGTGAAGAAATGTACTGCTGAAGCCACCACAGAGCAGAAGATTGAAGAGATAACATATTCTGAGGCTTTAAGACAGAGGACAGTGATGGTGGTGGCATGCAGTGCCTGGCAGGTCCTGTACCTCCAAACTACTCCCATCGACTAACGTAACAACATCCTTACTGCAACATCACTTGATCACCAAGCCAGATAACCTGAGTGGATTCTGGAGGCTGAGGCACTGTAGCTCATGCCCATCGATAGCAGGCTACGTCTTTGCTGCTGACCAAGCAGGCGCTCCGCAGCAGCAGCAGCGGACCGTCCTGCATACCATCGTATTGACAAATGCTTGTACTAGCTGTATGCAAAGAGGAAACGACACACCTGTCATTTCTTCTTTCTGTACTGCATTCAGGTGCAGCAATCCTCCCCATATCGTAAAAACGCACGCCAACATTAACACTCTGTAGCCTTATTAAAACAAACACAGTGCAACTGATACACATAAGCCGAAAAAACAGATTAAATAGGCTGCTATCGCTGCGAGCAATTCAAGCAGATCTGGGTTCATCTACTTAGGCTGGAAAAATAGTAAATGGTATCTTACCGTTAAAATCCTGGAAGGAAAGCCTCTGCTGACTGTCAGATGAAGAGATGCTCCAGTGAAGGTAGGAATGATACTGCTGGACAGTTCAACCTCCATTTCTATGGGCAATGTCACCCCCTGTCGGTTAAACGTGGACACTGCGTGTAACAACCGTTTTCAACCGCCTACGATGACGAACTGTTTTGTTTTCGAGAATTTATGCATTGGAAATGTCTTCCTAAAATATATTGAAGAGTAAATGACGCCACACGCTTCTCATTAATGAAAAATATCCTAAAATCTATTTTTTAAAAGGTTGAATTACGGAGTCAGACGAAATATCATGATACTTCCGTTTGGAAGAATAAAAGCCTTGATAAGACCAACAATAGAGTAGGCTATAGGCTATCAGTGGTGGAAGAAACATTCGGATCTTTCCGTTGAATAAAAAATATACTATGTCTTATTTCAAAAATTTTCTTGAGCAAAAGAACAAACGTATTAGAATCAAAATATACTTAATGGCCCAATGATATACTGTTTATAATATCATTGGAGTATAATTGTTGTTGCATTGTGTGTATATCACTTAAATGCTACAGCTGGTAAATGTGCAAAAATTTTAATTACTTTTGTACAGCTGGATAGTTGAATGAGTGAATGTTTCCCTAAGAATAAATAAAATTTTTGTCTCATATAATACATCCTTATTTGTTGATATGATTATATTTATTCATAGGAGTCTGGAAAGTTAAAAAAAAGATAAAAAGAAATGTTGTGGATTAGAAAATACAACTTTTCTCCTGGTGGAGTAGACTTATGAAGTGGGAGAAAATGTAAATACTTAAGTAAAGTAGGCTTACTACCTCAAAATTGTACTAAAGTACAGTAGTATATAATAAATATTTTTATTTTCATCCATTTAAAAGATCATTATATTTTTATTTTGTTATTTTGCTAATGTAATCACCGTTTTAAACTAGAACTGATTAGAACCAGTTCTATCTTAAAACTAGCTTAAACCGTTTTAAACTAGAACTGGTTAGAAGCTAAAACGTGTTTACACTGACAAAATAACAAAATGACAATGTAATGATCTTTTAAATGGATGAACCCTCATAAATTGAGCAATACGATCCGGTGGATGTCATCTGAGCTCTGTATCTAATTATTCTTCTCTTCTCTTAACTTGAACTTTTCTTTTTCCGGTTGCTGCTTAATTTGACTCTCCATTAACCCTAATTAGATATTGTGTATGAATCGCTTTCAACCAACTACAGCTTCACTTTTAATTTGAAAGAACTCTAATCTATCTATCTAAATTAACTTGACAAAGGACTACAAAAATGGCTTCTGAAAGTGGACAGAGGGGCCTAAATTAAATAGGTGTCTTAATCTAAGCCTGAGATCAGGATATATAAGTATCTCTGGTTTTATAATTTTACAGAGGTCTACTTACCTTTATAAGTTTTACCTATACGTCTGAAATACATTTCGTGTCGGGGGTGACCGTTAATCGGACGTTTTGGCAGGATGTTTTGATGTCGTGCCGGTGTTTCACCGGCGGTGTAGCAGCCAGTGGGTCTTCCAGCAGGAAAAAGCGCCAACTTCTGCTGCACCGTCCTGATTGTCAAATAGTCTGTAAGTGGTTCTAAAACTGGATATTCCGTGAAATATATCAAACTTCAATCTGGGATGACTCATTCAGGTAAGATTAAAAAAAAAAGATCTGGACACTGTAGGGGGTTTGAGATTAGATTTTTCTTCTCAAAGTGAACTGTTAGAAACGGCGTGGTTCCTGTTTTCCCCTCACCGCACCGTTTTGACCCAGTTTTGTCGCTGTGTTGTGTTGAAAGCGCTCAACAACACCGGTTTATTGTGCACTATTTCCTGCGTCGTAACTGCTTCCTAACGCTAAAACGGTAACGGTTGCCAATGATAAACTCTTCTGGTTTCAAGTGTTGAGGGGGCAATGAAAACAAGAGAGGCACTAATAAGTTAGCGATAGCCGGTTGAGCTAACATGTTATGTAATGCGTTGTTCAGTCGGTAACTGGGTCGGACTTTGTCAACCAGAAGTGTCTACATTAATTTAGTGTAGTTTGTTTGGTTGTAGTAACATTACTGCGAAGCGTTAACTTAACTGCGTAGTTACTTTCGGTCTCGATGAACTCTGATGGCGCCCTCTGAAATTAAAGTCTGTGTTTTCTTTTCTTGCCAGTGAGGGGCGGTGTTGCATCTCAGTAGAAAAAATCGCCCGCAAGCTACCAGTATATAAAGATGCCAGGTCTGCAGGGTGAAAATGTTGTGGCGGCGCTGGGGAGCCCCATCAAGAAGAGTAAACTGTCTCTGAAGTTCTTCCAGAAGAAAGAAACCAAACGGGCTTTGGATTTCTCTGAACCCCAGGCAGATGAAGCTAAAACAGCTGAACCAGTGGAGCCTGAGGCAAGGTGGGCCAGTACTGTCAATGTGTGATGTATTTGGGGATATACAAAGTTCACAACACTGCTTTATTATATATATAGTTATAGTTGAGTGGTACTATTGTGCTAACTTCACAGCCTTTGTGAGTGCACAATAGATATGTAGACAGGGATACCTTTTATTTTGATATTTGCTTTGTAATGTATTGGAGCTGAAATTATTGGTCGATTGGAAGAAAAATTCCAGCAACTATTTTAAGAATAATTAATCGATTGTGTCTAATTTGAAATGAAAATACAAAACATTTTGTGCTTTCAACTTCAGTCTGAGGATTCGACACTTTTTCCAGTTTTTATGTTGAAATGATGATTGTCTTTGTGTTTTAGACTATTTGTCATATACAAAAATCAATTTGAAGAAATCACCTTGGGCTCTGGGGAATCATTGTGTAAAATTTCCACCATTTTCTAATACTTAACAGCTTAAACAACTAATTGATATATTGAATAACTGCCAGATCTAACAGTTGTTAGTTGCACCCCTGAAATTCATCCTTATTTCACTTGAATCACTGTCTCCATGCTCTTGAAAACAAAATGTCTGTGAACGTATGTCCTTCTCATTTATATGAAAAGTTGACAACTCTATTTACTGGGGAACTAAAAATGGGGTCATAAGTCAGACATGGTTGAGAAGCCTAGATTAATCCTTATATGCAAGGAATGTCTGAAACCCCCTCAAAATCCCTTGTAAAGACATTGGTTGCATGTAATAAACAGTGAATAGTGATTGCAACCATATTCCTTAGCCCCTAATGAAATGACAAGAATAAAAAACGAGTAACCAGTAGCTAATGTTGTTTAATTTGAAACTGTTTTCTTCTTCACTGTTTAGCAGCTGCGATCAGGTGGTCCCTGGTCCTTCTCCATGTCCAGCCTCACCTGGTCTTCTCCTACCATGTGAGAGGAGAGAGAACTTGGTGCCATTTGTGGGGCTCAACAACCTGGGCAACACCTGCTATTTGAACAGTATCTTACAGGTGGGTCATTACCAGAGACATAGCTGTACATGTGTATAGATACATGTATATTAAATATTGTAGACTGCATTTGTGTGTATGAAGGATGATGCTTTCACAGTAACCAGCAACCAGGATCAAAACATAATTATTATAAGTTACTTGTCTATCAGTCAGTTGTGATTCACTTGTCACTGACCTTCATCGTGGCTTTAGCTTTGTTTTTTCACTGTGTGATACAGGCCTCATCTTGTGTAAACGATATAAAGCAAATAATTTGTGTAGGAGATAAAATGACTCTCCTTGTCACTAAGAATATTACTGAGAGTTGGCACTGCAGACAGAAACACTGAAGTGTTTGGCAGAGTGGACAAATCAGTGTCTTTGGCTGATGAAGAACAGCTAAAACCTGGATATAAGTGGCTGCTCCACAGCATTCAGTGTGCTCGTGACTGTGTGTTCAGATTTTATTGTCTCATTGTAGTTTATCTGTTGTGGCAGTGATTGGATGTAAAGAGGAAGACAAGACAGGCACTGGAGGTTTTTTATCACACATTCAAGAACTTGTATGATCTCCTCAGCAGCACCTGTTTAAATAGGGTTTCTGTAGCTGTGGGGTCATATTTCATCTTTTGTTTGGAACAAGAAACACGTTTCCCTTGTAGAGGAAGGAACATACAATATGCATAAGAACAACTCTTCCTTTAGGCCACTGGTTAGACAATATGGAAATCCCTTATGCAGTATAAAAGCAGGAGATTTGCCAAGGAAGTTATGTTTTCACCTGTGTGTTTGTTGGTTGGTGGGTTTGTTTGTCAGCAGGATCACACAACAAGTACTGAACCGTTGTCGGCAGTAATGTTATTATAATATGTTTTTGAATGTGATTTTAGCCAAAAAAAAAATGAAGTGACACCTTTTGCGTTATCTGTACGGATCCTTGTAGAGAAGTCAAGGTGAAAATATCATGACGAATCTTGTTTATACCTGGTTGCTCCTGCAGGTTCTGTACTACTGTCCAGGACTCAGAGGAGGCATCAAGAAACTGTACAACCTGTCTAAAAGAAAAGACAAACCAAAGGAAGAAACTGATAAAAGCGACGAGGTTGGTGCACTTCAAATTACATTTTTATTTAAAAAAAAATTACATTGGCAAAGACTGGCCTCAGGAAGGACCACAAACTTCACCAATTAAAAATAAGCTTTGCATATGTAATTTTAGGGCTACTATACAATGTAGTGTAATCAAATGCAAGTTTTCCTGTTACCATGTGCAGACCCTCTAAGCTGATTGTAATGTAACAGATAAGAAGCCATTTTGTTTAATTGTTTTATCTCTGCAACCACACTCGGCAGTCAGGGGCTGTAGCTGAGTCTGTGCCCGCTCACATTGAGCTCCTTGGAAGCTTCAACAGTCTGATAACATCAGTGGAGCAGCTGCAGTCCAGCTTCCTACTCAACCCCGACAGCTTCAGCGAAGGAGAGCTCGCCACACCGCCTCGTAAAATACTACACACACTCAGGTAACGACATGCTTGTTTTGTATAAGGAACTGTACAGAAATGAGAGTTCCAATCATCATCATGGTAGTTTATTTCTGCCTACGTTGATTAGTTGTGATTTGGGACTAAACTTTCAATTAAAAAAAAAAAAAAAGAAAATTTCATAACTTAAATTCAAGTTAGATGTTTTTTTTTTAATTTATATTTATTACCAGTAACAACTTCGGAAGGAGCACCCAGATGTGTGTTTAAGTTTCATAATTAAGAGTATTAAGCCATTGTTTTTATAAATTGGTAAGTGTATTTATTGTAAATTCTAAATGAAATCTGTGGTCATCTGTCAAAGAGGCTAGTAATTTTTTTTTAATCAATCAACTAATTGTGTTATCTCTCGTGTGTTGCAGGCAACTGAACCCCATGTATGAAGGCTATCTTCAGCATGATGCCCAGGAGGTGCTGCAGTGCATCCTGGGATATATCCAGGAGGCCTGTGACACCATCAGGAAGGAGCAGGAGCCGGAGAGGGAGGATGATGTGGCAGAGGTCAAAATAGAGAATGGTGTCCATTCGGGTTCCTGCAACTCTGTAACAGAATCCAAAAGTCCCACAGAAGAAGAAGGCCAAGTCAGCGGCAAGAGAAAGAGTGACACTGAGGTGGGAAACGCCAAGAAGAAGCCAAAATCTGTCAAGTCAAAGAAATCTGTTGTGGAGGAAGACAACATTGGCAGAAATAAACCCTTCACTCGCTCCAAAAGGAAGTCTTCCAGTGACATCACAATGGACAGCACCCAGGATAAAGATGGAGAAGATAAGGCAGGGGAAGAGGGGATGAAGAAGCTAAATGGGGAGGAGGAAGAAGGGAGCGACGGTGAGAAGACATCTAAGGAGACAGATGGGAAAAGGAAGAAAAGAGCCAAGCTGGGCTGGTTGAGGCCTTCTGGGAAACAGCCGAGTATTTTCTCCAAGTTCCGCAGCGTGGGGAAGATCAGCTCCATGACTGTGAAGAACCAAAACAAGCCAGAGCAGGAGAATGGACAGAGTGATGAACAAAGTCCGAATGAGAAGAGCAGTGATGAGAAATCACCACAGAACACGGCTGAAGACAAGAAGGCAATGAAACATCTAGGTATGAGATGATTACTGTTATTACAGGGACAGTTCTTTTAGAAGAGAAAGAAATTGCTTCCTTTAATATAAATGAATACAAATGGTCTATTTTTTCAGCTGGAGGAAATTGAGGACTCGATAGTTAAACTGATAAAACTCTGGATCATAAAGTGACAGGTTAATAATTGATTAAAAAATTAGGTATTAAGAGGTTGTACTTTACTATCATTTTAGAGCTTTGCCATTTCATTTCCAGTCATGAATAAATTAGTTTTCATAGTCTGTAAATGAAACCCTTAAGAACAAGGTGTGGAAAAGTGATTAGCAAACTAAAGCTGTTCTGTGTTGTTATTATCTGTTACGTTGTAAAATGGTCTTTTAAATTATTTTGGTGTGAGTCTTTCTTACTGGGTTATTCAACTTAAAAAATTACTTTCAAGTCACTGAAATGGAAAAGAGTAATAGGGAAAGAAGACAGGAAAGATGCTGAGTTTAACCTCTGCCCTGGTCAGTCACACAGTATCACCTTGTGACTACAGCCATGAAATATGATGCATCACTAAGTCTTTGTGTTTCTGTTGCATTCAGATGGCCTGGACCTGATGGAGCACTTGTTCCAGGGTCGGCTGGTTCTAAGAACTCGTTGTCTGGAGTGCGAGAGCTTCACAGAGAGGAGAGAGGACTTCCAGGACATCAGTGTCCCAGTGCTCGATGACCAACCCAGCAGCCCAGACGATCTCTCAGAGGGTGAGGATTTCTACAACAACTAGATGCCGTGATGCATTGAAAACCTTTAAGCATGCATTGTAGCCAATGTTTTGGGTTGTGTAGGTAACCATTAAAAAAACTGCACAATCCAAACATACAAATCCAGCTCACTTTATTTTTTTCAAGTTTTTATTTATATGATCACCCTTGGCAAAATAAAATTTGGAGGCAATCTTGTCTTGAATATCCAGAAAAAAAAACCTTGCCTTGATAGAAAAATGTCACATCATGAATGCGTAAACCCTTCATCTTGATTACTGATTTACTCTCTCTCCAGTCTCACCAGACCCAAAACCAGAGCTGAAGACTCTGAAATGGGCTATTGGCCAGTTTGCTTCAGTGGAGCGCATTGTTGGAGAGGACAAGTACTTCTGTGAGACCTGTCATCACTATACAGAGGCTGAGAGAAGTCTGCTGTTTGACAAAACTCCTGAAGTGATCACCATTCATCTGAAGCGCTTCTCCGCCAACAGTTTAGAGTGAGTTGATTAACTGCCAACACGTGTACCTTTTTACTGTTTAGATTTTAATTCATTTCAGTCAGGTTTTTTTTTTTTTTCTTCCAAAATCCTGCAACGTCATTGAGGTTGAAAGTTTAAAAAAAAAAAAAAAAAAGACAAAATGATGAGGAAATGTTTTCCTCCCTCCAGGTCTAACATACAGTAAGTGGACCTTGTGCTAAGGGTTTTTTTGATATGTTTTTGTCAAACTGTAGCCTCAGTTCTGTTCATCAGTTAATTCCTGGCGATGACTGAGTATAGACCCATCTTAATTCCCTAACTTCACAGTTAAGTAGCTAATTACCTACTCCCAGTACCCCCATTTCGTTGGAGAATACAAAAGGCTTATCATTATTAAGAAATATTTTCAGATAAATATACAGATGCTTGCTTTAATAAAAAAGGAATTCTATTTTGTTTCCACACAGATATTAAGTCTGTGCCTCTGGCTATCAGACTAGTTACATTATTTGTGTGCACAAGTAACCACAGATTGATGGGTTTGTTTGCTCACATTGGCAACAAAATTGTAATCAAACATGCATCACTGAAGCACTGCATAAATCATTTTCTTGTACCGTTAACTTAAAGCTTTTTATTACACATTCATAGAACATAACTGCTCAGTTGTGGTATTCATCCCTATTGTATTTATAATGCCATTAACTCATCTCCCTGTTTCTTTTCCTCCTAGACTGGACCCCTATGCAGGCCTCTCTAAAGTGAACACTCCTTTGCAGACTCCTTTGACCTTGTCTTTGGAGGAGTGGTGCACCCGTCCCTCGTCCGCTAAAGGCCAACACTATCAGCTGTTTGCTGTAGTCATGCACAGTGGCATCACCATCAGCAGCGGCCACTACACCGCCTACGTCCGCATGTCTGACCTGAAAGATGTGAAGCTCTGGCTGCAGGACAGAAAAGACACAGAAAAGGAGGAGGAAGAGGAGAAGGAAAGCAAAGAGGCAGCACAGGTGAAAGATGAAGTGCTGGACTATGATGATGGAGAAGTGTCTTTCAGCCTGAATGCAAGAGGACAGAGAGCTGCAAGTTTGGCTAGCAGCAAAACGGGAGGCAAAAAGCTGTCTGAGGGTGGGGTTGGACTCTTGGGGGGCCAGAGGAGTTTGTCGAGTTATGAGCTGGGGAACAGCAGCAGCAAACACACCGATAAAGGAGCAACAGAGGGATCTAAACGGAGAAAAACTGTCAACAGTCTGAGCCAAAATCCTGAAGCTGGACTTAAAAAGGAGCCTGAGGCAGGAGAGGAGGCATCAGTGACTTCCTGTGGTGGGGTAGGGGCCACAGAGCAGCAGGCTTTGAACAACCTCCTAGAATATGAAGGCAAATGGCTGCTGTTTGATGACTCCGAGGTGCGTTTGTTTGAGGAGGAGGATTTCCTGCGAGCCTGCTCTCCTGAGACATGCTCCTCATCGACACCTTACCTGCTGTTCTACAGAAGGATGCCCGAACCTGGATGCTAACATGAACACACTGCAGTTGACTCAGGGGGTTGTGCCAGTCAGGCTTTTTGGCAGGTGAGCGCTCAGAAAAAAGAGTTGTATTTTGCAATACTACAAACAGTGCCAAAAATACTGTGGCTGCCATATTTAGAACCTGAACTGAAGTTACTTCTCAGCCCAGAATCCATCTGGGGCAGAGACTGTTTACTCCTTCTTATGGACTCCAGTTTGAGTTTAAAGTCATATTTTAAAAACACCTAGACAAAAGGAGATATAATTTTCTACGTGCCAGAGATGACTAAACTTTTTGAGACTTTTTTTTTTGTACAGGGTCTTTTTGTTGTCTGTACTATGATTTTCTTGACACTGGCTTTGATACTGTCATTGTCTGTACCTTGTCCTCCTTTTTTTGTTTTCTCAGTCACCGAGTTTGTACAGTTTCTTTTTAAAAAAAAATGGAAAAGCACTTTTAAACAAACATTTCCAAATATAAAATGCTGGAAAATGTCTTTTTTTCTAGCTTAAAGTTTTTCTATGTTATATTCAATTGGATTTATAGGAGACTGTCAGTTCTGTGTATTTGGACTAATTACTCAACCATAAAAGCCAAATAAAAACACACAAATCCTCTCACTTCACACACTGAGGTAATGCAGAACGTGCTGCAGAATTTTTCCTTACAATATTTTCTCTACTTTCTAAGAAAAGCCTTTACCCACTTCTTATACCAACCTCTTTGAAAGTTATTTCTCTGCACTGATATCTTGTTCTTTATTATGAACACATTTTTGGATCTATGCTGGTGAAGCCCACAGCGTTTGACTTTACAAGTTACAATAACAGCAGATATTTACATAGAACATACTAGAATGTTAAATACACAGTATACACAAAGCTTTTACATATTTTATTGGTACTGCTAATATTCAATATTAATATTGTGCAGGGTGGAGTTTCTCACTAAGCTTTTTCAAGGTGCCAATTCAGTTTGAATAAAACTTAGAAATTGCTATTTCTTCAGTAAGCTATCAGGTTTCTATAAGATCCATTTTAACAGGGTTATGAAAGACTCATTCCTCTTTCATATCTAATTTATTGTGTAACTAACAATTCACATTTTGATCATGCAAATCTGGATGTTATTTAAATTCAGTCTATTACTTGAGCTGTACTTTAGTTTTATGCTGTGAGGAGGGTTTCTTAAGAAATCTATTAGTCGTTATTAATTTATGAAATGGTGAAAAATCTCCTTTACTACTATCATAGACGACTAAAGAAACCAGAAAAGTTTGGAATGGTTTCTCTTCAAAATGACTCAAAATAATTAATTTTCTGTTGATCAACTAAGCGTTGCAGCTCTAGTTTTACATACAGTGCAAGTTTAAGACAAAACAATTAAACAAGCACAAAACAGTTGAGCAGTAATCAAACAGGTGCACACGGGCAGATTTCTAAGTTCTATAAAGTTTGAAAGCAAACAAATCACAATCTTTGCAAGACACATCTGATCAGTATAAATTATTTTGCTTGCAATCTGCATAGCTGGATATGTGCAGTATTAGCAGTTTGTATTGGTCACGTGAGCTATAGCTGAGAGCATCGCAAACTAATTTGCTTTGACTTCTACTGAATTTCAGACTTGTTCCAGGTGTGGTCAAACAAATTTGTCTTTTTCTCTGTCTTTTTGAGACACGACAGCCAAAAAGATGAGGATCTTCTCACAGTTTAGAATCTACTAAAACAAGCTAGAGAAAATTATGAACTATGATCCATATTTTTGCTCACACCAGCTTGATGTGTGCTTCAGAATCTGTCCCTGTGAGTGCTCAGATGACATTAAAGTGGATCATAATGTTAAAGTTGAATTTGTTTTGTGCTAACTAATGGTTTGTCGCTAAGAATATTCCGTCGCTTTGCTTTTGAAAAAATATGGTCTTAAGGTATCACATCTATATAGTTTGAAATATTCAGTAAAGGTGACATTGTTCACTTTAGGCTCAGCAAAGTGTCTAGAGGTCCAGTCATTGATTCAGGGATTGACTCAGTTCTCATTTGTCATGAGTGTAAGCCATATTCAGTTATTTCGGTATTAAATCCTTTATAAGTGGGGAAAGGTTTTCAAGGCAAGTTTTGGTATTTAACAAAATTCTTGCAGACTTGGTTTAATGAAACCAGCCTTGATAAGTGTGTCCTTTAAACTGTACCTCATTCCAGCTGTAATTATATTAACGTTGGCAGGTTGGTACTGTAAGCAATAAAGTTTTTACCTTCACGTCCTCTCTGGCGATCCTTTTCATTGCTGCCAACCACTACTTTCTCTTATTCACGGTCTACTTTTTTGTTGTCCTGATTTGCTCCCAACATAACTTTAATCCTACATAAACAAAAATAACACAATAAAAGGAGAAAGAAAATGATCAGTATACACAAATTGAACATTAAAATATTTATTTAGTAAAATATTTAAAATAAACAAAACAAAACTACATAAAATTATACAAGGATGTTTAAAGTACCTAACTTTAAAACATTGTCGCTTCAACTAAAAATGATAAAGCATCATGATAAATAATGGTACAATTTTTTGCATGTTTTCATTTTTTTCCCTCCCTCTCGTTTTGAATTACATAAACTTTCAAGTTGTAAAATGCATTGCTACACCGTAATAAAAAAGTGCACACATGAAATTGAATACAGATTTTTTGACACATCGTACATAATTAAAAAGACACCTTGACTTTTAAATCGTACCTTTTCTGCAGTCACTTGTCAACATTTGGCGGAAAAAAGGGTTTTTGGCACTTATTTACCAATAAAGGGATCTCAGAGCATTCTTCATATTCTGTGGTTTGTTAGCTTTCAGCCAGCAGTCTTTGTTTTAAGAGTGAAGGCTCTCATTATTATCTTTTTTTAAGGTAGCATAGGGACAAATGTAAACACTTGTTCCCTACTGTAACAAATGGCCAGCAGAGAAAATTCTAAATGCCAAGGTATCCCTTTAATCTTTAAGATCCACTTGCTCGTCTCTCTGATTGTGTAACAGTTTGTCTGTAAACAAATTAAGACACTGGAATGACGTACCAAGCTGCAACACTTTTAGCCTTCTTTTAGCTCCGTCTTAGAAACACTGACCAACTTTCAAGAGACACTCCTATTTACACTTGAGAATAAATTAATATTGCAATTTCTGGTGTGTGTGTGTGTGTGTGTGTGTGTGTGTGTGTGTGTGTGTGTGTGTGTGTGTGTGTGTGTGTGTGTGTATTCTCTTCATCTTTAAATGTCAAGCTTGCGAAGACTCATTCTGCTGAAGGAATCTCTGGAGATAGAAAAATAAGACATAACAGGAATTTTATTTACACTGTCAAAAACATCTGATTTTCAACTCTTTGAGGCACAAATCTGATGTTTGGAATGCTGAAAGTAATCTGGAGCATTAACTGGATTTGCAGCTTTATAATTTTTGCATTTTTTTAGGCTTGTTTGTTGACTGCCATTTCAACAAAATCTAACTTGGGAGGATGATAAGGTTTTGATGCTTTGAACATCAGCAGGAAATTCAGTAGTGGTTTTATATCCAAAGGTTAAAAAGTTAGCATCTGTATTATTCTTATATGTAATGACATTTATGATTTACAAATGCATAGTTCCCACAAAGTTTTTACATAACTTTCCATAATTAAGCTGTACACTGCTATTATTTCTTGATTTGTTAGGGTACGTGGCTTCATCTCTTCTACTGTGTGGCTTGAAGTTATTACCTGATTAAATGGACTGTAATGATATAAACGTCCCCTGATTCATTTTTATTTTCTGGAACACAGATCTAACAGCCCTGCTATTCTAGAAATTCAATGAAATGTGGAAACTGTGCAAATGAAACAAACACACAACACAAAACAGACTGGAAACATGTAATCACAAAGACCCAAACTACCTTGTCAAGCTGTCCGTTTGCTGCATGATTTTTCAGAAGCAAAAACAAAGACCAATTTAATTTAACATGCAAAACATGTTGTATAAGCATATACATCCACACTCGCTCATTCTCTCTCACACACAGAGACAGTGTCCCTGTTTAGTCCTACCTGTGTGAGTTGACCTGCAGTACCGGTTTGTAAAGCTGGGGGATCTTTCTGTTGATGAGGGGCTGCAGCGCCTCCTTCAGCCGGTGGTAATTCCTCTCCAGCTCTCTCTGGTACTCTTTCTGGTCTGGACCAATCAGGCTCTTGTTCTTACGCAGGGCGTCTTCACACCTTTGGCAGAGAAATCAATTAAATACTGCCATGCAGATTCTGTACAACACTTTGTCTGTTTTGATAGTGGTGACATTTAGGTGCCAAAAAGACTCGCTAGATGGAGAATCTTTGCTTTGCTTTCCATTTTTACAGCCAACCGTTGAATCACCATTAGAATAAGCAAGTGCTCTCTTTTGCACACAAGTCAACATAAACCCATGGAACGTCCTAACATCGGCAGCAGCTTTTTGACTTTTTAACATAACAGTGATAGTCTAAATATCCTTTTCTATTAATCACAAGGTCATTTTCCTCAGAATATCAAGATTCAGATCACATCGTTGTGAGATAGTTTAGTTTTCAATTAAAACTTGTCTTTCAGATTAAAGGAGCAGTGTGTTAATTTTAGTGGCATCTAGTGGTGAGGTTGCACATTGCAACCAAATGAATACCCCCTCCCCTCCCAAGCGTGTAGGAGAACCTCCGGTTGCCTTCAGGTCACATAAAAACATGACAGGCCCTCTCTAAAGCCAGTGTTTTGTTCCTCTGTTCTGGGTTACTGTAGAAACATGGTGGGCTCCATGGAAGAGGACCCCCTCCCTATGTAGATGTGAAAGGCCCATTCTTAGCTTACAAGAACACAACGATTCTTAGTTTCAAGTGATTATACACTAATAAAAACATAATAATGAATATTATAGTCCATTTCTGTCAATAGATCCCCCTGAATACTACACACTGGTCCTTTAAATCTACTGTCCCTCGGACAAATTTCCAAAGTGCTGTTAACAGGTATATGATTAATCATCCACAGTTCATACCTCTTGGTGAAGTCTTTGAAGCAGAGCCGTAGCTTATTGTGGTGCCTGTACAGTTTTGGGTCACTGGGGATTTCTGAGAGGAACACCTGAGCCACCTCCAAGGGACCCTGAGGAAAACAGAGAATTTGATTATCCATATACAGCTTCTGATAATGAATATGCAAATACTGAGTATTTGGCCTTTGCAATAATGCTTTTGGAACTGAGAACTATATCTATTGTCAGATGTACCTGACATCTTGAAACTTTACCTGGTTGACTGTTGTACCAACTGATCCCTGTAGGACCATCTGCAGCATCTTGGCATCAGCAGGGTCCTGGTGGGTGGCAAAGGCCAACTCCTGAGTCTTCTTTTGCATGTCCTCTATTGCCACCTCGATGGGTGTGGAAATAATCTTGAAAAGGACAGAAACACAAGTGGTTCTAGTGATCAGACTGAATGTGCACAACAGGTTTATAACCTCCTAACCTCCAGAATACCTCCTTACACAGACAAGTTATGTTGTTTTGCGTTAAAAGTAAAAAACAAAATAAAAACCAGTATTTCCATTAATCAGTTGAAACATTCACTTACCTCCTCTTTGTGAATGATGTTGATCCGTGTCTTGATGTAAGGGAAGGCGTGGGAGGTTGTGAGGATGGTCTTGCGTTTGAACTGTTCATGCAGGTCCCCATGTGCCCGCCCATCCAGGGTGAAAGGGGTACAGTACACGAAACGTCGCAAGTTGTAGTTCTTGTCAAAGTAGGTGATGCGGTCCTTCATCTCGTATGTGTCAAAGTACGGCTCCACATATGTGATCTGGATGAATGCCTGCAGGAAGAGAGACGGCTTAGTTTCTACTGTTCTGTTGGATATTCGGACCAACAGCTCGACCAAAATCACCACCAGCGGCTGTTTATCCAACAATATGGAGACACTGCCCCACACCGACCTTATTTGGGTCCAACTTGCACTTGTCCACCGGGTTGGAATCTTTAATGACTTCTACCTGGTCCTCTCCGAATCGTTCCCCATAGAAACCCTGAGAAGAAATGCAGCACAGGGCCTCATGAAGTTTTAGAAGACTAACAGCACATATCTAAGTGGTAAAACAACATTGCAACTGAGTAGTACCTGACCTACATAGTTCTGTGGAAAGCCAATGGTTGTTAAATTTAAGCGTTTGGATTAGAAATGTGACATCAAAACATTTATTTAGGTCTCGGGAAAAATCAGAGGAACATCTCATGTAACTCATAAATAACTGTTTGGATTTTCACCACCTAACATGTTATTCTATGATGTAATTTTTTGGTGTTTACCTCCAGCCTGTGAGAGATTTCTGCTAGCTTCGTGATGGCGGGCTCTTTGTAGACAAACTCTTGCTCGTCTAAATCGCCAAATTTTGAACCGTAAAATCCAACTCTGAAGTATGTACCAAACATCCTCTTCCCGTCCTGCGAGCAGAGGAAAATAAATGTCAGTGCTGGAATTAAAGGAATTTAATTAATGTAAGTACATGTTTAGTTTGATCAAGACTTTAAGAAACAGCTGAAATTGAAAAACGAAGAGGTGTCAAAAGTCACCGCCCAAATCAGATTCCCGTCAGAGAGACAGTGAAAACCATAAACTCTTACAAAGTTTTGTAGCATACTGTAACTAACAGTGGAGCCCTGTGATGATTTACAACTACATGACTTTATATATGAGTTCTAACTGA